TTTGAATTTGGGCTCAGAGGCCTCCACAGACAATGGGGATTTTGACATCTCCTTTAGCCGTTTGACCACTTGAGTAAGTGGCTGCTTTCCGGACCTTACAAGTCGCTTCAGCTTTCCAAGATAATTTTCAAAAGGGAATGCACTGCAAGCATCAAGACTGCCAAAAGCCATTGCCTCCTCTGGTAGATGCACCATTGAATGGACGTTGTAGACCATGAAGTGGTCTCCATATAGTTCTCCTGCTTTTCCAACAAAGTATTTCATCAGCTCTTTGCTGTAGCTGTTGTGTTCCACTGCAAGTGTAGGGCAAATCAGAAGACTTAAGGCAACACTGAACACCATGAAGTGATCATATAGCTGGTCAGCCAGAATTCCTTTAAGCACGATCTTTCCTGTGTAAACAGCAAACTGCCGCAGTTCGGTTGCCTTCCACCTGTCGATGTCTTCCAGATTTCTTGGTTTCCGGGCAAAACAGCTGGGGATGTCCTTTTGAAGTGACAGCAGCCTTTGGGTCACATTGCTTATTTGCCCAGCAGACATTCTCACTTTCCTGTCTCCTCTAACCCACACTGTTATGAGTTTTTTCATCACTCCCAGGCAAGCTTGGTGCATGTAATCAATTGGGAATTGTTCTACCATGTCCAGTGGGAGATTCAGAAAGGGGGACACAGGAGTGTCCTCATTTTCTTGACGCATGGACATTTCAGCGCGAAACGTGTCGTTGTTTCGTAAAGTGAGGTTATCAACCTCTGGGTAGGTCACGCGTCCATCCACCCATGTGCCCTTCTGTGTGCACTTGTCACACCCATAGTACCCAGAGTATTGTTTGATCTTTTTGACCATGGCTCTTGCGGGTGCGTCACACACAACACATCTGATTTTGACTTCTATTCCATCCAAACCATTGTCTACAAGCTCCTGAATGTCCTTTATAGCTTCTTCAATAAAATCCAAATTTGTTGGTTTGGTGGGACCGAGTGTCAATGTGACAGGAAAGACACTAATGGGTGGCAGATGAATGGCACACAGGATGGGCCAAAGAGATGCTCTGCTGCTTTTAAAAATCGGCAGGCCATCTATATTAAATGAAAGCTCCAATGTGCTAACTCCATCTGTAATGTCTCTTGGATAGCGCTGCAGCTGCTCAAGAATGCTCTCCCTTAAATTAAAATGGACACACTCCATTCCTGATTTTTCCACTGATTTAATGAGTCTAGGAGTTTTCAGCAGTGACCTTGCTGTTGATGGGAGCTCTGGGTGGCCATAATTTTTAAGTCCTTTCAGGAGATCATCTAGAGCATTATGCTTAATGAGGTGTTTTGTTGCCCATTCTTGTAAAAATGTTGAGAATGAAGTTAGGGCCACTTTGTTATCATACTCAGATTCTGAATTGCTGTTTTCGTCACTGGACCCATCGGCCACACTGTGAGGTCCTGAACTGCAGTCCTCCCCACTGACCCCAATTTCTACACTTGAGAAGCTGTCTTCATCAGTATTATTTTCTTCATCAGTATAATGTTCTTCATTAATTCTTTCTTGAAGTGTTACTGGATGAAGTGATGACTCCTCTCCAATACACCTTTCATGCAGTGATCTCCGTGCATATTTCCACTGCCTTGTATAGCGTTGCCTCTTGGTTTTTGAATCCATTCTAAATCCAAAATATTGGACTTGTTGAAAATGTGGTACTGGCATATTTTGCAATATTTTACCACATCTAATAGCAAAAAGTCTTCCGTTATTTAATCCAAAAATTGATTTCTTAATAGTTGAAATTTCAATTTCCCAGATCAGAAATACAGTTCTTTATTAAGTTTATTCTAAAACTTTATTTTTGGTATCAGTAATCATGTGGTTACTAGTGCAAATGTTTATACTTGATATGAAGAATTCAAATGCTACTGGTAGAAATGTTAATTTCTGATATCAAAAATAATAATAATAATATCAAAAATATCATGAATCTGATTGTTACTATTATGAAAGCCATTTTTGTAGTGAAAAGTAAAGTAAATTTTACTGTCTGTGGTACGGTTATGCTGGTTAGACATTGTATAACAGATAATCTGGTGGAGATATCAAGGGCGTTTCCTCGACCATTCATTTACTGAGATGAAAAGAACAATGGCAAAACAGCAAATTGCAAATTTATCTTTTTTTATACTGGTGATGATTGCCTCAAGAATCTTGTGTGTGTGTGTGTAGTGATGTTTATTATATATACATATATATATATATATATATACACACATACACACACATGTATAAATTTATATGAATTTTAATTATATTAACAAAAATAAAAAAGTTTTCTTAAATATATCAATGCATGTTTATTTAAACAAACATTACGGAGAGCACCTTAACATGAAGATAAAGAAATAAAGAATATTACTTACCCTAATTGTGGCAAGACAAAAAATGTGAAGGAGGTGGGGAGACAGTGGAAGATGATGCAAAAACTATTACATAAAAAAAAGATATAGTACTCATAAACATTAAAGTACTTAACATTACAAATGTTGTATGCATGCTGCAAATTATGCTATCATGAATATCAAAGCTACATCTAAACTAAAATTATAAGAATGCGCAGTTATTCAGAAAGACCAAATATGAGTAAAATGTCTGTACAAATTCAAAAGTGTTCAGCAGTGATTATGGATTAAACATGTTATGATGAAACTGGCAAATCAGAGATTTTTTTTTTATTATTTGTATTTTTTTTAAAATTTTCCCTTTAATTTATTCATTAAGACATTACTAACATGCTGCATGATTTTGCTTCTGATTGATCTAAACCCAAATTCTGATAGTCAGTCAAAATATATACTCACAAAGCCAAAGACGCTCTCGGGATGTGGCTCTTAAAAGAGCCTTTGTGGTGTATGTAGCTGCTGTTGACAAGCAAATGAGAGAAAAGACCAAATATGAATAAAATATGTCTGTATAAATTCAAATGTGTTCAGCTCCGTCAGTGATTATTGATTAATTAACATGTTATGATCAAACTGGCAAATCAGGTATGTAGAATTCCAGTATATTTGTTATTTATTTAATAATTTATTCTTTTTTTGTTGTTGCTTTTTTTTTAAGAATTGCCCCTTTAATGTCTTTATTAAGACATTACTAACATGCTGCATGATTTTGCTTCTGATTGATCTAAACCCAAATTCTGATAGTCAGTCAAAATATATACTCACAAAGCCAAAGACGCTCTCGGGATGTGGCTCTTAAAAGAGCCTTTGGGGTGTATGTAGATGCTGTTGACAAGCAAATGAGAGAAAAGACCAAATATGAATAAAATATGTCTGTACAAATTCAAAGGAGTTCAGCTCCGTCAGTGATTATTGATTAATTAACATGTTATGATCAAACTGGCAAATCAGATATGTAGAATTCCAGTATATTTGTTATTTATTTAATCATTTATTCTTTTTTTTTTTTTTTTTTTGCTTTTTTTTAAAGAATTGCCCCTTTAATGTCTTTATTAAGACATTACTAACATGCTGCATGATTTTGCTTCTGATTGATCTAAACCCAAATTCTGATAGTCAGTCAAAATATATACTCACAAAGCCAAAGACGCTCTCGGGATGTGGCTCTTAAAAGAGCCTTTGTGGTGTATGTAGATGCTGTTGACAAGCAAATGAGAGAAAAGACCAAATATGAGTAAAATATGTCTGTATAAATTCAAATGTGTTTAACTCCATCAGTGATTATTGATTAATTAACATGTTATGATCAAACTGGCAAATCAGATATGTAGAATTCCAGTATATTTGTTATTTATTTAATCATTTATTTTTTTTTTATTATTTGTATTTTTTAAGAATTGCCCCTTTAATGTCTTTATTAAGACATTACTAACATGCATGATTTTGCTTCTAAATTGATCTAAACCCAAATTCTGATAGTCAGTCAAAATATATACTCACAAAGCCAAAGATGCTCTCGGGATGTGGCTCTTAAAAGAGCCTTTGGGGTGTATGTAGCTGCTGTTGACAAGCAAATGAGAGAAAAGACCAAATATGAGTAAAATATGTCTGTACAAATTCAAATGAGTTCAGCTCCGTCAGTGATTAATGATTAATTAACATGTTATGATCAAACTGGCAAATCAGGTATGTAGAATTCCAGTATATTTGTTATTTATTTAATCATTTATTCTTTTTTTTTTGTTGCTTTTTTTTAAGAATTGCCCCTTTAATGTCTTTATTAAGACATTACTAACATGCATGATTTTGCTTCTGATTGTTCTAAACCCAAATTCTGATAGTCAGTCAAAATATATACTCACAAAGCCAAAGACGCTCTCGGGATGTGGCTCTTAAAAGAGCCTTTGGGGTGTATGTAGATGCTGTTGACAAGCAAATGAGAGAAAAGACCAAATATGAATAAAATATGTCTGTATAAATTCAAATGTGTTTAACTCCATCAGTGATTAATGATTAATTAACATGTTATGATCAAACTGGCAAATCAGATATGTAGAATATGCACAGCTGCACTTCCTGAACTTCAGTCAGCTCTTTTGTTTCCTGTCTGCCATTATTGAACAAACTGATTAATCCAGGTGTGTCTGTACAATAATGGCAGACAGGAAACAAAGGAGCTGGCTGAAGTTCAGGAAGTAGTGCAGCTGTGCATAAAGCCAATTCCATTCTATTTATTTATCTGTAAAGAATTATCCTTTTAATGTCTTCATTAAGTTAACTTGCCACATTAAGTTGCTTTAATTGATCTATTAATCAATTAGCATGTTATGATGAATCTGGCAAATCAGAGATGTAGGTTGACTTCTAATACTTACAACAATAAGATGGCAATCAACACTGAGAAAAAAAGAGAGAGAAGAGAATAATTATTTTCATGGTATACATTTTCAAAGTTTATAAAGGCTCTGATGAATAGATAATGCATTTTCATTCTTGAGAATAATAGAGTGTGAGTGTGAGAGGGAGCTCACGCGCTCGCAGTCAAATCAGTGACAACACAATAATTCCATACAAATTAAAGATATTATGAAGCATAATTTTGTCTTATCATATCTTATTAATTTATGAAGCGTAGAATTTATCTCTTTTTAAGGAATGTTATCATGACAGATAACTTAGTCTTAAACGAAAGAGTGTCTCTCAAACAGAGCGCATTGGCTCCATAAGCAATGACGTCACACCGATGTAACGACATTTAACGGTGTTGATCGGCACAGATGAGCGGACTTTATATCGATGCATATCAGATGATGTCACCAACGTCTCCTCACTGACGTCACTCACTTCTAAAACTTGTCTGCCGCCATCTTGAGTACCTGATTTGGATATTGCAGTAAATTATAGTAAGTTGAAGGCATAATAAAAGCAGAAATGAAAAAGAAGGAGGAGTGGTATATGGAAACAAAGGCGAGAATGTTCTACAATGTCCAGTAGAAGGTAGGAGGAATGAGAGAAAATAAAATAGATAAAAAGGAAGAGGACATTATTTCGAGAATGATATTTAGGCATACTGGATTAAATGAATTAAAAAAATAAATTAAACTTAAAATAATAGGAAAACATGAAACTGGGTTGTGTGAGCGATGTAAGAGAAATGAAACATTTGAACATGTAGGCCTAATTATTCATTTTTGTAGGTATAAGCAGGAAAGAATGATTCTGAAAGTTAGGCTAAGTAAAGACAAAAATCGAGTTGAAATGAAGGAAATATTACAACTGAGTTCAGGGCATGTAGGCATAGAGCAATATTTATTTAATTTTTTTAATTAAAAAATATTTATTTAAAAAAAAGGGATAATTAGAAGGTAAAAGTTTATTTTGTTATTAAAATTGTATTGCTAATGGTGTGAATGATAATGTATCAATATTAATAATTTTATTAGATTTTATGCATTTATTTAGTTAATTAGTGGTAAGTAAAGTAGGCTATTTTGATCCACACTCCATTTCAGAAGGTGGCGGTAATGCGCATTAAAAGTTGTTTGCTAAGAGCCATTAAAAAAATACAAAGAAGAGTTAGAACCGTTACCTGATTCACGTCAGTCGCAAAGGAACAAGCTAGTTAACGTTATGCCTACAAAATGCTGTGTGGTGGGGTGCAACAACAAAAGAGACCCGAAAATATCCTTTTACAGGCTACCTCAGGACGAAAAAAGGTGCCATCAGTGGCTTGCAGCCATCAAGAGGGCAGACTGGACACCAACTGCAAACACTCGTCTATGGTGAGTGGATGCAAATATAGCCTAATATTGTAAACGAGCTAACGCTAACTTGCTCGCTGTCGCGAAGAGATGGTTTAGCTACACCTTGTTGACCTTGCCTTGAGATAGCATTGAGTTGTTAGGCTAGCTGCTGTTTAAAAGTTGGTTTAAAAGAACACTTAACGTTACCTTTCGGTGGGCGTGATCTAGCAAGTCTGACGGGAGAGATGATCGGGAGACAGGTGTAAGTTAACGTTAGCGTAAGTGGGTCAAGTGTTAATTACAAACACCTGTTTGTTTTTTTAGTGATATGCGTATGGAAATACCGCATATTAATTGACAGGGAAACTACATTCAAGGATAGAGAGACACTGATTTTGAGCGAAGGGAGCCCGAGGACGTGATTGCTGTCAGAATTTGAACTTTGTTGTGTGCGACTTTTGTTGTTTCTTTTCGCGAAGAAACGTTGTTTGTGTGAGATGTAGTACATTTACTGTAAAAGTCAAAATTTTATAATAATTTAATGAGTTTCATGAGAGAAAACTGCTGTTATTTTTGTGGAGAAAAACGAACTCTTCCCTCAGACCGTTTGCTATTATAATTAACGTTATTATAATTAAATGTCTTTACTTTCTTTCTTCATAGTTTTAAATGTCATTTACTTTTGTTGTCAGACCATACTTTAAAGAAGTAATATAACTAAATTGGTTAACTAAAAAGTACTTTACCTCAGGAAAACGCACTGCTGGGATGTCACTCAAAGGGTAGACAGGTTGTGCGCGCGGTGGGCACAGACACTAGCTTATAGACCAGCGCTGCCCGGTTTCGCGGGCTTGGCACGAGATTAATAATTTATTATTATTATTTTTTTCTTTATTTTTTCAAAAATGTATGTACTTTTATATAATGACAGGCCACGTTACCTTGGCATTAAACGTCTAAAAAAATGGGATTTGTTAAATACTGCAGTATTTTTGTTTTACTATACTTTATTCAAAGCAATGGTGTCACCAAAATATAAGTTGTTTTCTTTTCTTCTTTTTCCTTTAGGTTTGAGAGTCCCATATAATTTAGCAACCAGGTGCACGTGAGCGATGGTTGAGAGGTAAGCGTTGATTTCAAGTTCTTGTGTGGTCTTCTTGAGCTAGCTTCTTGAGGCTGTATTTAGACCAACAACATTGAGAGACAGAATAAAAACACAGAAATATATTTGTTAATTATTTATTTAACCCTTGT